GAATGGAAATTTTTTGGAAATAAATCTGGCATTTCTAAACGGCTGATCCGATCGGGATAAAATTTGGCGTGAGCGTAGCCAAGGAGTATTCGAGTTTAAGTTTTGAAGATGAACCCTGCAGATGCCCCAGGGACGGCGCTGTGGCGGCTCAAAGTAGGGTACCTACGACATGTAAAATTTTTAAACTCGTGCCATTTTTTTCACCCAAATACAAAGATTTTTATATTTTCTGAAAGCGCTCGACGAGATCTTGAAAAAACATGCTTGGACATACTACTTATCTCTTATAATATCCGAGTTATAGGCATTTAAAAATTTAGTGATACAAAATTTACCATACCTTGGTCCGCCTTTTTTTGAATACCGGGCGTAATTTTGGACCAAATGGACTCAAAGTTAGTTAGACAACAAAATTTCCAATAATATACGAAAAATTTCAGATCAATATCATTTACTGATCCAAAAATATACGTTTTTTAATTTAAAAATTCAAAAAATTTTAGATTTTTGGCGTTTTTTTTGCCAAAAATGTGTCTTAACTCTTTTATTAATAAAATAAAATTTTCTTTAAGAACATATAACAATTTTATAGTTTTCTAAAAGGTATATTTACGCAGAACGCTTTGGCGTAAAAAACTTGTCCTATTTTTTGAAAATGTTGCCACTGCGTCCTTCCGAATGTGACCTATTTTTTATCAAAACTTCAACTTTGGGCGACATGTTCTAAAATCCCAAAGCTGGGATCAGAAAACTGAAAGCACTTTTGGAAACCTCAATATGTTTTCTATTTACTCCAAAAGTATTTTCCCAGCCCTGAAAGAAATGTGGACCCTATGGGCAAAAAAGTAAAAAATCCCATTTTTGGGATTTTCATTCCTATTTTTGGGAATTGCGGGATGCCCTTTGACCTTTTCAATTTTTTTTTTTTGCATTTTCTTATTTTAAATGACAAATTTAACAAGCGTTGAAAATTTCATTGAGTTTTGTTCATAAATAAAGATTTTGTCATATATTACATATTTGTTTAATTTCTAAAACTATGATTTATATCAAAATTTTAATAGGGTCGCAGATAGCTACAACAATTTAGTCCATATTTATCCCTTAATATCATTTTTTAGTTAGATATGGAAAGTCTCGAATTTCAAGCCAATATCTCAATTACATTCAAAAATATGTTCATTTAAACCTGTGTCCTTTAATTTCATCTTTTTCATATTTTAGTATTAAGTATGACAGAACATACATTTGGTGTTGAATAAAATATTTGGACAATTTTTAAAATTATTTAGTTAATTATTTTATTAAAGACTATAACATTGTATATACAATAAAAAGTTATAATTTTATTATGAGCCACGCACAACAACACCTAAATCACCCCACACAAACCACCTTTCCCGCCCACCGAAATATAAAACACAATTTAATACAATATCATCAGTTAGTATAATAGCTTTTTTTATTTGAACTGTTTATCTTAAACATAATACAATTAATTCTTACAACCTACTTATATAGTTAATTCCTAACACTACTTATTTTCTATAAAATAATCTGTCATATCGGTATACATATCCAGAAGGTAATACAAGTCCTTTAAATCTTCCTTGTTTTGAGATGATAGAGTTTCATAACAAATCCATCTTTTTCGCATAGTTAAAAGAACAGGATCAGAAGATAGAAGTAAACTATTAAAAATATCTTCATTCTGTGATTGCCTGGAGCATTTTCTTGAGCTGAATAGTTGAACATGCTTAAAATCTCGATTCCTCGCTTCCTGGGCTTCTTCTGTTAACTCTCTAAGTGGAAGAATATTCGATTCAATTATTATTTGACCATGACACAATACTTTGTGTACTGTTGGTGTTAGTTCCCTCCATGGATACAGAGATACAAGTAATTTAGAAATTTCAGATGTGTATTCCCCAAATCGATTTCCATTAATTTTATGTTTACTATTCAGTGCCATTAAAATAGTGTTAACTCTTCGAAGCAACTCCTTATCGATTCCAGTTACTTTTGAAGTAATTTCAAAATCACGAAAAAACCTTCTCGCCGTATTACCGTCATTTGTACTACCGCAACTTAAAAGTGGTTGATTTAGTAGGATAGTTTGTTTTTTTTTTCCTGGATCGCCTTGTATGATGGTAATATATTTTTTTCTTTTTTCATGCAGAGCTTTCCTTAATATTTGGTACTTTTTTCGACTGAGACCCAGTTCCAACATAAGCGCTATTGCTTCCTCTTCAGTAAAATTTGATTATGATGTTGGAGTTGGTATACTTTCCACAATTCGCTTAAGTCGTTTTGGTGATGCATTAGGAAGAATAGTTGCAATATGTACGACATCCATAGGTTGGTTTTCCTTTTTCAGCATTTCGTTAAATGTATCAGCAATTTCCTCATTTGAGATTGAAAAAAGTTTTTGTGTGACCCTCTTTTTTTTGACCTTCAACATAAGTCTTCGTATGACTTGCAAGGCGCTCCTGTTGATGTGTTGTAAGTTGAGATTTCCGTAGTAGTTTCCATCCAACTACAAAATTTTAATCGAAATTTCTTTTGATCTCCATCCACAGACTTACTTTTTACATCAAAAAGTTTTAAAAAGTTTTCAATTTTTGATATGCCTGTTTTGTCTACTTTTCTACTATATGTAGTTTTTATATAATTTGAAATGTCTTTAATTCTTTCTGGCCCTTTTGAAGATATACTCCATAAAACGGAACACAACTCTTCGTACTTTAATGTAATCTTCATTGTAGATTTAATAAATATGGTACTTAAAATCTGAGAAGTTTACTTATATACCAATTCTTGTCATTTCCGATACAGGTATTCCAAAGTAAAAAATTACGAATTGTCTACCTATTAACATTTAGGACTATATTACTATAACCTGTAATTCAGTCATTGATATTTCTTATTAGTGAATGAATCGAAATTATCATTACCTGTATATTTTTACCTACATGATCATAAACGAAACAGAACGAAATGATCTGTCGAAAAAATTTAGGTAAAAAATAGTTATAAATTTTTGAAAATTTAAGCATAATAGGACCTTTCAATTATAAGGATAAGCAAACAAATAGAAAATAGGTAAATATAAGATTTAAATATGTTCTGTCATACTTAATACTAATATATGAAAAAGATGAAATTAAAGGACACAGGTTTAAATTGAATGTAATTGAGATATTGGCTTGAAATTTTTGTAAAGGGTCGAGAATTTCCATATCTAACTAAAAAATGATATTAAGGGATAAATATGGACTAAATTGTTGTAGCTATCTGCGATCCTATTAAAATTTTGATATAAATCATAGTGTTAGAAATTAAAGAAATATGTAATATATGACAAAATCTTTATTTATGAACAAAACTCAATGAAGTTTTCAACGCTTGTTAAACTTGTCATTTCAAATAAGAATATGCAAAAAAAAAAAATTGAAAAGGTCAAAGGGCATCCCGCAATTCCCAAAAATAGGAATGAAAATCCCAAAAATGGGATTTTTTACTTTTTTGCCCATAGGGTCCACATTTCTTTCAGGGCTGGGAAAATACTTTTGGAGTAAATAGAAAACATATTGAGGTTTCCAAAACTGCTTTCAGTTTTCTGATCCCAGCTTTGGGATTTTAGAACATGTCGACCAAAGTTGAAGTTTTGATAAAAAATAGGTCATATTCGAAAGGACGCAGTGGCAACATTTTCAAAAAATAGGACAAGTTTTTTACGCCAAAGCGTTCTGCGTAAAGATACCTTTTAGAAAACTATAAAATTGTTATATGTTCTTAAAGAAAATTTTATTTTATTAATAAAAGAGTTAAGACACATTTTTGGCAAAAAAACGCCAAAAATCTAAAATTTTTTGAATTTTTAAATTAAAAAACGTATATTTTTGGATCTGTAAATGATATTGATCTGAAATTTTTTGTATATTATTGGAAATTTTGTTGTCTAACTAACAAGAAAAAATTGAGTCCATTTGGTCCAAAATTACGCCCGGTATTCAAAAAAAAGGCGGACCAAGGTATGGTAAATTTTGTATCACTAAATTTTTAAATGCCTATAACTCGGATATTATAAGAGATAAGTAGTATGTCCAAGCATGTTTTTTCAAGATCTCGTCGAGCGCTTTCACAAAATATAAAAATCTTTGTATTTGGGTGAAAAAAATGGCACGAGTTTAAAAATTTTACATGTCGTAGGTACCCTACTTTGAGCCGCCACAGCGCCGTCCCTGGGGCATCTGTAGGGTTCATCTTCAAAACTTAAACTCGAATACTCCTTGGCTACGCTCACGCCAAATTTTATCCCGATCGGATCAGCCGTTTAGAAATGCCAGATTTATTTCCAAAAAATTTTCATTCTGCCCCACTGTGCGATCCTCATAAAATTTTGTATGGAGATTTTGGATCATATGAAACTTATTTATGTCCAATTTCATCGCTATACTCATACTTTTAAAATAGATATGCCCGTTAAATCTGTTTTCCGGGGGTCAACTTGTATGGGGGCTATCCGAAAACGTGGACCTATATTACATAGCCCCGATAAGGAATATTTGTTGAAAATTTTAACTTTCTAGCTCTTTACGTTCGAAACCTATCGTGCTTTTAACAGACAGACGGACGGACATGGCTATAGGGACCCTGAATATATACACTTTTGTGCATCTACGACCAATTTTAAGATGTGTTACAAACGGAGTGACAAAATCAATATCCCCCTTTCTTTTTATGGTGGATATAAATACACACGATACATAGATGTTAGAGGGTTGTGAGTTGGGCCATAGTATTTCTTGTATTTAATTTATAACACTTTTTTCTAGTTGCATGACAAAATTACTATCATTAAAATATTTATTAACATTTTTTAATAAAACGAATTTTGTGTAATTATACTTATAAATATATTCCTATTATTGTATTACAGCACATTTATTATTTCCTGAATATAACTAGACGTCAAAATTAATACTGACTATAATAAAGCCTTTATTTCGTAAAAGAATTGTCTTCTTTTCATAGTAACGCTTAATTTATGATCCGATATGAACGGTTTGTTTATCAAATTCTTCTGTCCAGATATTGTAAAATGTTGTCCTATTTTTTTACTTCCGCCGTATGTTTTCGACGATTAGAACGAAAATAGTTTTGCAAAATTTCCGATTTGTCCAAATCTAGATGATCAAAATTCTAAATAAAATAAAATTAACATAGTAGTTCGAAATTTCGGCTAATTGGACTTGCATACATACCTGAAGGGCATAAATTGATCTGCCGTTGACATTTTTGTTGTTATGTACATAATTCTGTTTATACTCTCTTTCATCTTCGTCATGTTTTTCTTTTTCGTTAGCAGAATTGCTTGCTGAGGTATTGGCATCAATTGTGGTGCCGTTTTTTGGAAAAATATATTTATTGGACTTAACAGTTTCCCTAACATAGTCTATAGGTACAAAACTGATGCTATTTAAAGTACTTTGCAGAGAATTCGAAGAATTGATGCGTTTCTGTAAAGCATTGTCCATATATTGTTTATTGCGTAAACTGGAAGCTAATGGTAATTTGAAAACATCCATTGAAGTTTCCGGTAGTTTCCATACTTTTAATTCATCGTTCCAATGTGAATTCTGCAAAATCTCATCAGGATTCCTATAAATGGGAATCAAATGGATTATATTAAAAACAATATTTAATCGTATTTCAGTGACACAGTATGTACTATTACAGTATGTACTATTATTTCTATTCAAATGCATGTTTGTAGTCATTAACTCAAAATAACTTTTAACTAGTTTTCTTTTCAAATCAAAGAATTTGCTACAAAATGGCATCGATTTGTTGTTGTATATTTTTTACTATAAATGCTTAAATTGCATATTTTGCATATTTCTAACATTTTTATAGCATATTTTGCATATTTTTTAATTTTTCTAACACAAATTGAGTCACTGAAACACGTAAACTTAATTTTAGGCCGTAGAATCTTATGGCATACTCCATTTTCAAAAGTTAGGTAAAAATAAGAAGATATCTTAAGGAAAAAATCGAAAACTCTTTTAAAATCACTTCATGATTTTGCTCATTTGTCAAAACTTAATTATAACTGTTATGATTGTAGGTTTGTACAATTATAAATAAAACAAAAGACAATTTCTAATAACGATGTTGATTATTCACGTACGTTCGACGCCTTGATGACCTTTGTGGAGTTGTCTAAGTATACTTTTATGAAAGACCGCTGGGAACATAACTCGATCACCAGACATAATACAATTGTCAAGAATTGACAAAGATTCTCTACGGTTGTAGTAAGGCTAGGAGCTAGGCCATCCGTCTTGTATGAATTACCTTCCGTAGCGTAGTGTCCTCGGTTGTAGCTATAACTACCATTTTCTGTGTTGCTGGAGCGTGCTTAGTGTTGTCCTGCAGTAAAAATTGTAAATCGTCTTCTGTCTTCAAAACTGCTACCACGAACTCTTCATTCTGGGGTTTATTGTTGATCAGACGGGAAAGTATGTCGACTTTTCCAAAGTTGTTTGTGTTTACATACTGAATTTAAAGTTATAAGACATCATAATAAGGACCCATCTTTGCAATGTGTGTAGGTATACCGTTTTTGTAGCCGAAGATAGAAAGTAGGGGTTTATGGTCTGTTAATAACGTAAAACTGCATCCATAAATCATACGATGAAATTTAGTACATCCATAAACCAACGCCAATGCTTCCTTTTCAATCTGGCTGTACTTTTGTTCAGCAGACTCCTACCGTAGATGCAGACTCCTACCGTAGATGCGTCTGCAGCAACAAAAATAGGAAGTTTGAAGTCATAGTGTGCCAGCAATAGTTTTACTGTAGTAGTCTTTTAAATTCCCGAAATGATGGTTCCTTCGTCCAATCCCACTTTACTTCATTCTTCAATAAATTATCCAGTGGGTGACGGATGTCACGCATTTGGTTTATAAACTTACCATAGTAATTAATGGCACCTAAAAATGAAAGAAGTTCAGGCACATTGGTCGGGCGTGGCATATTTTGAATTGATTCAACCTTGGAAGGATCTGGGTGAATGCAGTTGCTGTCAATCATATATCCAAGATATTAATTGATGGTTTGAAAATTTCGCATTTCTCCCAACGAATCGTAAGACCGTGTTCCTTAAAACGTTCTATAACTTCCTTTACTTTAATTGCATTTTCCTCTGTTGTGGCCGATGCAATAATGACGTCATTCAAATATGCAAAAATACCGTCAAGTCCGGCAAGAATGGTGTCCATTGCTTTTGGAACACTCCGGGTGCTGATGTTACCCCAGCTGGTAACGAATTTCATCGCTTTTCTCGTATTTTTAAGACGGTAATGAGTTTTAAAGATATTTTCTGAAGGCGAGTTTATATGGGGGTCAATCATATGCAGATTCTCATAAAAGTCAGTAGAGAGGTTACAGCTCCCAAGAAACTTACTTATGGCGAATTTCATCTCTTGATAAAGAGATTTTGATTCCATTGAAACTTATGTGTGTCGAATTTCATCACTGTATTCGTATTTTTAAGCAAGAATTAAGCGTTATAATCACTTTATGAGGGAGACCTTTTATAGGTATGAAGATTTTGGATCATATGAAACTTATATATGTCCAATTTTATCGCTATACTCGTACTTTTAAAATAGATATGCCCGTTAAAGCTGTTTTCCGGGGGTCCACTTGTATGGGGGCTATTCGAAAACGTGGACCGATATTGCCCATTTTCAATACCAAACAAACCTTACCTATAGAGAATATTTGTGGAAAATTTCTAGTTCATTCCGTTAGGACTCTATCGTGCTTTTATCAGACAGATGGACAGACATAGCTAGATCGTCTTAGAATTTAATAAGGACCCAGAATATATATACTTTGAACAATATTTCGATGTGTTACAAACGGAATGAAAAAATCAATATACCCCCATCTTTTATGCTGGTGGGTATAAAAAGCATAAAAAATAAGTAAATTAACGCTATACATTGAATTCATTTTCAATTAACATTTGATATCTTAAAACTGATTCAGTATATTTATATAGAGAGTAGAAATTGGAGCCATTGAGTAAGTTGATGACTTCGTATAAGTAAAGCTGGGTTTTACCAAAAAACCATTTCCTTATATCTTTGTTCAAATTGCACACAGAACACCTGCAATCTACAGCTACTCACACTTAAAATGGGACACATAGTAAAAATCTTATGTTGCTTAAAATAAAAACGCCAGTTTAGTGTTCAGAATTTTTATTTGTTATATTTTATTTATTGATGGAATATAAAAGCAGAACTAAAAAAAATTCAATTAATTCAATAAAATTACTCCTAAATTAGCCACTTCATGATTCATTTACTTAAAACTAAGCTCACACTCAAAGTGGAACAGAGTATACTCTGAACATATCTGGACAAGGAAGGAAAATTAATCGGTATCACTTGTATTTGATACATTTCATCCATCATCATTCAACCCAGCACACATCCCATTTATTCGACACACTCATAAGAGAAAAACATACGACACACTCATTTAGATATACGGGTGGGTGAGGCCCGCATACCTCTACATCCAACGCTTAGTCCCACAGTCACTCCTCTGTGGGGTATCTGTTGTTTTCGGCAACAGCACCGAACTTATCCCGAAATATTGACTATTATCATGCATCAGTCTTTTAACCGGAACTTACTCTTCCCGCGAATTTGGGTTTAAACCACAGCCACTACGTGGATCCCGAAGGAACCTCAACCAACTGACCAGCCAGGACATAGTCCTGCGGGCAACTGGCCACCCGTAGTACCAGATTATGCGGTGCTCTGGTCTGACCTCTGGCAATCTATGCAAGGACTAAGCCAGGCAGTAGACTGTAACCAATTTTTCAGTCCCGGTCAGACTGGAGGTATTGGCCACCTCTTTATACCCCGGGATTGCAATAACACCAAGGCGGAGGTCTCGCCAAGGTAACATGCCCCCGGGGGGGCTCAAAGTGGGACAATATAAAAATCATATTTATATTTAAATTGGTATACAATTTTAATACTTGGTTGATTTGTCCCTGTTTGTAATTACAGCTTCTAAGCGCCGTGGAATACTTTCAACCAATTTTTTGCAAAATTCATGTTCAATATTGTACCACTCTTCTGTCACGACCTTCGTTAATACTTTTGGGCTTTCTTTTGGCTACCCTTTTCTTTAACTCTGCCCATAAATGCTCATAACATTCAGATCTGGAGACTGGGAAGGAGTCTCCATTACTTTTGGGCAATTATAAAGAAGCCAATTCCGAGCAGTCCAAGACTTATGCTTGGGGTCGTTGTTCTGTTAGAATACGAAGTCGTCTTTTATGCCAAGACTTTCGGCACTTTCTAACACATTTTCTTTAAGAATGTCAATGTAATACTTCGAATCCATAATTCCGTTCACAAAATGTATTTTACCTACACCAGCCGCCGACATACAGCCCCATATCATAAAAGAACCACCAAACCTTGTCTTGAAATACAGCACGTGGTTTGCGACAAGCGAATCTTGTACCATCTGGTCCAAAGAGGTTTATTTTTGTTTCATCGGTAAAAAGAACCTACACAATTGACTTTAAAATCGAAAATTTTTTTTAATATTTAAATAATACCTATTTACCTTGAACCAGAATATGGTATCATTATTTATGTGCTTTTGAGCGAAAGCGTATCTCAAGTCTTGATTCTTTTTCGATATTAAAGGCTTTCGCCGGCAGGATCTTCCGTGCAAGTTATGACTTCGCAAGACTCGACGGACTGTTTCAGCACTCACATCTACATTTTTTATTTCTTTTAATTGCTTTTTTATGTCAACTGCTGACAAAAGTGGATCGTTTTCGATTTGTCTTAAACAAAATCTTTTATCACGGTCGGATAATTTGCACCTCTTCCCACAATTTCTTTTCTTATTTTAAACACTATTACTAGCTTTAAAGCGTTTAATAATATTAAACACTGTACTTTTGTTTCTATTAACAATTTTCGCGATTTCTCTAATAGATTTGTGGTTTTTATAGTTGTTTATTATAATTTGTCTTTCTTCAACTGTAGTTTGGCCCTTTTGTGACATTTTAAAGAAGTTAATATGTTAGCACAATGAAATGTAATAAAAACAATGATTTTAAGATGTAATTACTGATTTCGATCGGCAAAGATAACGGTAATTGCAAAAAAGTAACCTGTCCCACTTTGAATGAGAGCATTGTGTTGCCAGATAAATAAATAAAAATTTGAAATATAATAATAAATAAAAATTTGAAATATGAAATATTAGTATTTTTATGAGATGTCCCATTTTGAGTATGGGTAGCTGTATATTATTACCGAACGCTCTTCCATTTAATATAGTAGCCCACATCTCGCTTTTATAAGCAGAGAAATAACACGAGATGAATAATCAGAATCAAGAACTGGAATATCATTATAATTAAGTAAAGAGTACATATCATGATGTGAACTTACTGCGCTCAGTACAAGTTCATCGTATTCTTTTGTTTTCATTAGCTCAATTATAATTTTCCAGTAATTATTATTTTCCGTCGTAAATTGTAGGCGTCGGCTGATAACTGTCCACTCATTAGCACAATTTACATTTTGAGATATGACAGCTTTTG